CAAAACCAACCTCATGATCTATATAATATTTTGCATTTGTTGATACATACGGCCAATTGTTCAAGCATTACCATTTTAATATGAAAACTTTGAAAAGAATCTAAAACAGAAATTACAAAAACGACTTTCTGAACAGATTGTTGTTCATTTCTGAGGGTATATATACATATTAAGGTATTTTGATTATAATTTTATTCTTTTGATTGTCTTTCCCATGGAATGAGTCATTACATATATCTTGCTGAATCTGCTATCATATACCTTTTCTTTGTTAGTGACTTCGACAAACGCGACAGTTGGGAAAAAAACGCATATGACAACTATGATAAACAACTCCTCTCTTTCTGCAATGACAACATCGCTTCCAACAGGTTTGTTCATAAAGACTATGTGATCTATCTTTTGTAGCTTTTTCCATAGAAAACAATTTTAATCAAGTAGGTTCTATATGAAGTTCTTGGAGAGAGGGTATTTTCGTATATTCTGATATTTACTCTGCTGACTTTCACTCTTCACAAAGTCCTAGTTATGGTTTTTGTGAAACACAATTTGAAAGGAATGTTGAAGTGTATAGGGTAGAGATTTGGATCCATACCCGTCTCCTCCACAGACATGGCAGACATTTTAATTAATTAAATTAGAGGATTAATTATTGTCTAATTAATATATCAAAGACTACCACAGACCGTGACAGACACCTTAGCAACGAGTCATCAAAGACATGACAGACAGCGTAGTAACCATTTTGCGCCGTGCAACATAACATAGTAACTACCTTCCTGCTCCCTCAACCTCCCCACATTCTTACCATAGATAACGACAGTTATAGCCGCAAAATCAAAATGAACAGTGAGATTAGTATGATAGCTATTCTTAATATTTCTATTTCACTCACTGCAGCACATTGGCATGAGTATTTTTCATAATTGACATCCGCAAATGATAGAAAACAATTTAAAAGCTAGAACATACAATGATTAAATCGATTGTTTGTGCTTGAAAAATCGTGCTAGAGTTTAGGCCCTGAAATAGCTTCATTTTTAGAGCTCACATAGATTTTCGAAGAATATTGGTAAGTGTGAGTTTTAAAAGCGAGCTTTTTCGGCTACTCCTCCCCCTCTTCTTTATTACAGATCTTAACGACCAAGATTATATAATGTGTATTCATGAGAAAGTCACTTGCCATTGGAATTTATGCTTACAATGATAAATGTGTGTTAAATTGAAAAAAACATACGAAAACAAAAAATCAGATAATAAGTGCGTAGAAATAATAAAAGTGAAATTGGGCGCCTATCAAAAAAAAGAAAACAATGTTTTTTGAAATAAACAGATAAAAAAATCATTTGCTTACTAATAATCATCAAAAGAAACGACGATAGACTTTGAGAGATTTAACACCGTTTTGTATGAGCATGATAAAGCTGAAGGAGATATGTGAGTTTCACATTCCAGCCTCAATACGGCTCTGCTAACAAGCTTTTTTCAATTAAGCTTTGTTATGATTATCTATGCGAATATCTTTATAATTACAAAGTCATTCTCTGATCAATTTTTCAGATATTGTGGTGTCATTTGGTCTTGTTAAAAAGTAAAAGCTTCAAAAGAAGTCTTTGCACTGCAAAGAAATCCTAAGGTACTCTTTCAAGCAATAAAAAGTTAAATCTATAGAATAAACTCGAATGGAAGAATTTTAGGTGCGAAAGTTGATGTTTTGAAGCTTGTTGGGTGCATATTTCCTTCAATTATGTTTGTATGAAGGTGAAACTTTTACCATAGTTTCTCCGTTCTTGTCCTTATATGTGTTGAAAATTTCATATCATTTTATCCTATATGGGTTTACATCGATTTTTAGATAGACGCAGAAGAAGAATAAAGTGGAACAAACTTTAAGAAATATTGTCATACTGGTCAAATCAAATCAATATCTCTAGATCAATAGTAGCAGCAGCGAAATCATGTTTCACATTGTTAATCCCAATAGGGATTGCACTAACAGCTTTTTAAACTTTATTGATACATTTGGCACAATTATTTGTGCGAAGCACCGAGAATGACTTTTATTAATGGGGATCAATATTATTTCACAAGAACTTTTCAATTTTATCTAACTTTCTTTTCAGCAAACACTTAGCTTATCACTTTTTTGGAAGTGCATTTTGAGATGCAAATGAGAAGCTTGAGCAACTTGTTTTTCGCCCGAAACAGTGTAGATATGATAGTACTTCCGACGCTTCGTTTTCTACATGAACAAATCTCTGGATTATTGTACTGTCCTGTTTCAACAATGCACATCGATATTTCGGAGATGTATCGAGAGTGTCGGAGTGCATAGTGAGTGTAGCATTGCTTATTATCAACCATGGAAGAATTTAACAAATCGAATTAAAATTGATTATTTGTTATTAAAGGTCAACTAAAATACCACGATTTTAATCGAATTTTTCTATTCATACGAGTTTATGACCCAAATAAATTACTAAATAATTTAGATTTATACGAATTACAATATAATTCAAAACATCATGTAGAAAGTAGTAGGAAGTAGCAGACTATGCTTTGTGTGAGTCCGTCCTTTCACAGTATCCACAGAAAGTGTCTTGGTAGTCTCTAATACCTGGTACATTATGTTTTGAACTATTCTACAATTCATTTAGTTTAGCTTATTTCGTTATTTATACGCGTCATCCATGATCTCATACAGATAGACTTCTGTGAGTTTTGGATTCGTTTAAGTCAATTTTAATTGACTAATGACTTTTCATCGATTAAAATCGATCCGAAAAAACCGAAGAATCAAAGAAAACTGCCTTTATGACTAGAAAAATCAAATTAAAATCGTGCACTTTGAATCGATTCTTAACGAAAAAAATAACCAATTTTAATATGTTTTCTTGTCCAATTTTTTTGCATGAATAATCAGAATGAGAGGAGTATTCATGATTTCCACGAACAAGATCCTCCTTATCAAATAGAAACAAGTAATTCTATTGTACAATTTAATTATATTGATACTATACTGAAGACATTTTTCCGAATATCATACTCTTTAGTTGAATCGCTTTAATGCTCATTACATCAACTTGATAGCGACGGTGAGTTTGTTAGATTGCATTTAGGAATGAGAACCAGGGAGATGACATCTTTTAATCTGACAAGAAAAAATGTTGATTTTAAAATTTTTGCTTGTAAGGTTACTTGGGATTTTTTCTTTCATGTGAGCATTGTTGAATTTATGCATAATGGATATCTTATGCTATTTTTTGCACGAAGTGTGCTGAAGATTTATTAGAAAAAGAATAATTTCACGTTAACGAACTTTCTTCAGTTATTCGTAAAAACGAATAAACGTGCATATGCTTAGTAGAGCAAATGATTAACTATGCCTAGATTTGAACCATTTCGATTCTTTCTTGCTTCAGCTCTGCTGCAGGTGCACTCGATCCAGCTATATGACAGGTCTATGTCGAATATTGAATGTTGAACTGGTGTTCTGCTCACAGTCGAGGTGCAAAAGAGCGATAAATATATTCTCTTAAGAACTGAATACAATTTCAAGTTTTTCTCAACAACATTTAAGCTAACTCTCTGTTTCTTCTGCAGCTACTAGGACTAAGTTTTTCGGAATTCATTGAGGGTTTTCAATAAGTTGGTAACCTTTTTAAAATGAATCCCACACAGCTTCTCAATATATATCAAGTGCGGGTGCTAGTATGCATGGTCAGTTACGAATGTTGGCATGGTTGTGGATGTACTGAAATAACATTTGAATAAATAAATTCCATAGAAAAAATAAATACCAAAAAATAAGTCCCAATAGTTCTTCAGCGTTGGAGCTGTCTATCTCTGAGTACAATCATATCTCACACTTCTACTTAAGAAATATAAAATAAAATTCATATTACGAGTAAGTTGAGAGAAAAATCTTTCTCGAACCTTCTATACAAATTTATAGCATCGTCACCATTACTTTTACGATATCCTAAAACATTTCTCATCTGGACGCAGAATAACACTCTATTTGTTGTTTGTTTCTAGAACAAATTTGTTGGTTCACACATCAAACAACTACTGTAAGCTACGTGGTGACTGCGATTGCTGTGGGTCATTTTAACGACGACGATTATCTGGATATCGTTATGGCCCACCATTACGATAGCATTCTAGGTATCATGTTTGGAAATGGAAATGGAAGTTTTCAAGAGGAAATAGAAGTGCACTTTAACGATAGCAGTACGCCGTATAATGTTGCTGTTAGTGACTTTAATAATGATAACTTATCAGATATCGCTATAACCGTAAAGGATTATGATAATATTGTTATACTACTTGGTAATGGTGACGGAACTTTCAAAGAACATATGACATTCTCGATCGACAATGATAATAATTCTATGGGTCCCATGGTTGTTAATGATTTTAATAGTGATGGTCTGATGGATATTGTTGTCGCTACAAACGATGCAGATAATTTATATGTGCTTCTTGGCAATGGCAATGGGACTTTCGGAACACAAATAACTTATTCGACTGGACATTTGAATGTTCCATCCTGGGTCGCTGACGGTGATTTCAATACTGATGACTTATTGGATATTGTTATGGTTCACCGTGATCTTGACAACATAGATGTATTCCTTGGCAACGGCGACGGGACGTTTCAAGTACCAAGAACACTTTCTACTGGTGATATGACTGAACCAATATCGATTGCAGTTGGTGATTTTGATAATGATGGCCTACTGGATATTACTTTTGGTATGTCCATGGGTAAAGGTGTCGGTGTGATGCTTGGTAATGGAGATAGTACTTTCAAACAACCATTACTGTTTGTTATTGAACCTGGTAGTGCGTTGAGTCAGGTCATTGTGAGCGATTTTAACAACGATCATCGACTCGACATCGGTTTTATTGATAGTATGAGAAGCAGTGTGGGTGTACTAATTGGTAACGGCGATGGAACTTTTAAAGATGAGATCATTTCGTTTACTATAGTTAATCATAGCCCAACTTGGATTTCTGTTGGCGATTTTAATAACGATGGTTTATCGGATATCGTCTTCAGCAAACAATCTATCAACAGTATAGGAATTCTACTAAATGCTTGCTAACGTTATGTAAGGGTGTGGATGTGTTGCTTTTATTTAGTAAAACTAGACTGACATCCAAACTATTGTGCAATAATGATCTGATTGTCCTTAAATTCTATACTTTTGCATCAATAACAATTGTAAACAATAGAAATATTTTGAAATGCCAAGATTTGATCTAGTATCAGTATGTTAAGGAAATATTCTTCCTTATGAGCTATATATGTGCATGTTCATTTTCTTTCTCTTTCTCTTATATGTATCTGTTCTTTAGTTCTTCTTTTTCAACTGAAATTGTTCGTTCGTTTCTATTTTCTCACGGTCAATAAACATCGATAATGACCTTGCCTATTTTTATTCTTTTTTGCGTATTAGTTTTTCTATCGCATAGCTTATAATACGTGATACTGTGATCATTATATATATATTACATATGCACTTCTTCTATTCATAGCAGAATGATTATTGCTGGTATTCTCTTTATCTTAATTCTGTCATGCTTTCATTCTCTTCTTGATTCTCTTCTTCTTTCGTGCTTTCTTCTTCATTATTGAAATAAAATTGAACTCACGTTCAACAAAAACACAAAACTTACATTGGCGACGAGAGTGTTCCTCTCTCTTATTCATTTGTTGATCATCTTCAACAATGGAATTTTCTTTCTTCACATTCATTCTTCAATTATCTTTGTGATTTTGGCAATCATTGTTCATGTCTAAATCAATGTCAATGTCAACAGTTCAACTACTAACAGTTTCTTCAATTCCTGCACTTCATGCTTTTGATTCTCGCACAAGTACACAGCAATCTTATCGTGATCGAACCAATTTTTATTTTCAATCAAATCGCATTTACACTGATGAAGATAAAAAAGTACTGTTTCTGTGGTCTATTGATGATACAACATATAATTTACTAGAATCATTTATCTCACCACGATCATTAACTGGTGAAGATACCAAGTTCAACGACTTAATCAAGTTTTCTAGATGCTCATTATGATGCAACGAAAAATATTATGACGTCCACATATGATTTCTACTGATGTTATCAAAAATCAGGACAAACATTGGCTGAATGGAAAGCTGAATTATGTGAAAAACTACGCCATTGTGGATTTACTACATCTGCTTTAAAAGATAAACCACAAGACCCTGCACTTTGAGATATGTATGTTATTGGAAATGAAAGTCAAAAAAATCGACAAGCATCACTCGAGGAACAAGTTCCTGACTTAGAAACAACAGAAAAAAATATTCAATTAGCTGAACGCTTAGAAGAAGATGTTCGTTATTTTGGTAATCCAATTAAAAATGATGATTATACAGTGGCAAAGCTTCACAATCCTCAACCGAAACGACAAAAACAACCACAAAATAAATCATTCGTAAAAAATGAATATAAACCATGTCAAACATGTGATTCAATTAAACATCGTCGATCAAAATGCAGATATCTTGAGTTTACTTGTAACTTTTGCAAAAAAACCGGTCATTTAGAATAAGTATGTCGACAAAAGAAAAACGAAAAACCTTCTACAAAACATATTGCAACGATTTATAAACTGAACTGTTCCAATGAAACAAAACAAACCATTAAACATTCATCAACAATTTCTTTAAAGGTCAACGGTTATGATTTTATCTATGAACTTCATACACTCTAAAAAAAATCGGTACTCTACCGAACCTTAATAGTTCCGCATTTCTACACCGAACGATTTTAAGTTCCGTGGACCGCAAAACGTTTCGTAGTTTGCTTTCAGAACTATTTTAAGTTCAGCAGATAGCAAAAAGTTTCGCAATTCAGCTGCGGAACCACTTATAGTTTCAGTAAAATGCTTTTTGGTTTCGTAGATCAAGTACAAATCCTCTGATAGCTTCGTAACATCGAAGAAGGTTTCGAATTATGCTGACGAAACCATTGATGGTTTCGTAACCTATGTAAGGGTTTTGAACATTTTTTGCAAAACGATTGATAGTTTCGTAGAAGTTTAAAAGGTTTCGCATTATTTGTGCGGAACTTTTAGATACCTTCGAGTTGGCTTCAAAGTTTCGTATCTTTTATATGAAACTACTAATGGATCCGAAAACTGTCGAAAGGTTTAATATACTTTATACGAACACCTTGATGGTTTCGTTAACTGAAGAACGGTTTGGAATTTTTTCTATGAAACGACTGATAGTTCCGTAGAGCTTTCTAAGGTTTTGTGTTATTTCTGCCGAACTTTTCAACATTTTCCAATCTGTTTTAAGGTTTATTTTATTTTATATGAAACCCATGATAGTTCCGTAAACTGTAGAAAAGTTTGGAATATTTTCTACGATATGACTGATAGTTTCGCAGATTATCTGAGGGTTTTGCAATTTTCTAAATAAACTTTGCACGGTTTCATTAAAAAGTAATACGTCTTCTTTGCTATGCAGGAAATTTTATGTGATTCTGAGCGATATCGAGAGCTTTTTTTGCTTTCTCGTAATCGTGACGGCCTCAGTATTACCTTCGGTTTGGTCTTATTTAAGAATATCTATTTACAGGGTTATGTAGGTCTCCACAAAGCCTACCTCTAGCAATCGTAAATATGGGAGAGGGCAAGGGGGAACAAACTGATTTCAAGCACAGAAATCAAATTGAAATCAATAGAAATCACAGAAATCATGTGAAATCAACGGAAACTAACAACAATTAATGCGGATGATTTTATATCAATTTCACAGAATTTTCAATAAGTGATCCAAGAAAAGCAAATGTATCAACTTTTAATACAGTTTCTGCAGATTTAATTGCAAGATCACCTAAAAAAGATCTGAAGGCTTCTCTATTATGTGAATAATAAGCTTTGTTATTATATATTTATTACTATGTAGATCAAATAATTCATTCATTAAATGATGTTGGGAGAACGATAGACAAGCCAGACGTTACTATATATTGTCTGTTCATTTTCCACTTCTATATATAGGGCTTAATTGTTTATCGCATTGCACGTGCTTCCTTCTTTTTAGCACCGAACAACACAGACATTTACATAGTTGGTCATTTCTATCTTCGTCGGTCTGAACGAACATATCTTTTTAGCTATTGATTTTCTGTTTGGTTGTTTATTTTCGTTGACTTATTTGATTATGTTGAACAAGAATATTGATATACCACAAAACGTCATGGAATTAGAAAATGACCAATTTTTCGATTTCGTTAAACAATGTTCAGGAGAAAAAGTGGCTTTGCTTCTCAAATTTCAAGATATTAGCAATGTAGATTGTTTTCTTGGCTGTAATGATCCTTTCGAAATTTTATCATTTGATTCAAACGATTTACTTTATTTAAAGAAAGAAATATGTGTGAAATTGAACAACAATTCATATGTCATATTACCTGGAGTAAAGTGTAAGGTGAATCTGTTAAAAAATGCATTAGTGAAGTTATCCAATCAATTAAAGAGAACTTCGAAAACATCATCAAATACTGTTATAAGAAACAGTCCATCGACAACTGATTTGATAATTAATAATTCCAATAATTCAGCAAACACGTTTTCTGTTACATCAATGGCCATTTCTGCATCACCAAACAATAATTTAACACCTGAAGAAAAAATAAAGCAACAAATAATTGAATCACTAAACGATTGGTGCCAGAAAATAAAAGAGAACAATGATCAAAAAATGTTTCAACTGAAAGAAAATGTCGATTATGAAATNACTACTACTCAAATCAAAAAAACAAAAAACAAAAAAAAAAAATGTTATAAATAATAATTTAAAAAAAAAACGATTAAAACGACCGAAGAAAAAAAAAAAAAAAAAAAACGAAACAACAAGATATCGATGTTCATGCACAACATTAAAAAAAAACTAATAAGTCTGATATATCAACTTAATAAATAATCACGAAAAATCTTTGTTTGTACTGTTTCATATTTTTTTGTTTACCATTCTTTTTTTCTTGCATCAACGGATACTCCACCAGGACCAAGTGCAACAACGTATAAAAGACCACCAATAACAGACATTGTTTGAAAAAAATCATATTTTAAAAAGTCTTGTAAACCACGAATATCACGTGCACTCCAAAAATTATTTGTATATACATTAGCAATTGATAAAAATATAACAAGAAATAAAGCAGCAAGTTTTGTTTTAAAACCAATTGCAACACATAATATACAAATACCACCGATGACATTTTGTATTGTTGAAAAAAATGTTAATTCAAAACGAACAGTTGTTATAAACATAACAACAAGTAATAGACGACCAGCTAATTGCATATAATTTTTTGGTGCATTATTATGCATTGTTGGTACACCAGCAAATAAACTACGAGCTTCTTTACGATTTTCAACCATTAATAACATTATACCACCAACAAGGGATAATGACCTGAAGAGAAGAAAAACCATTGATTCTTACGAATACAAAATTCTTGATTAAGAACTAGAGTGACGAGTTCTTCTTGACCCGAAGTCAAAGTGTATTTCATTATCGGTTCCGAGTTCATAAAAGTTTGAACTGGCAGCTTCCAACAAGAAACTATACAGAATTGATTCATTTTTCGACCTATTCTATCTATGAAGTAGGCTGAAAATAGTACATAAACGGTATATTTAATATTGGAACATGTCTTTAGGTTTAGTTTATTCAAATAAATGATTATCGCGTTTATTATTTGTTTTAAATAATCAATAGTAACTCTACATATTATACCGGGAATCAGTAACAAAAAAAAAAAAAGAAAATAACCTGTTGTTATAATTCTATTACCTAAGCATGAAGCGTGGTTCCCATATGATTCGATATGCCATGGCCTACAGAAAAAAGAAACAACAAAAATTAGGAATATTTTTTTTTGTTCAATAAAAAACAATTTATTCGTCATTTTCTAAGATCTATTTATATTTTCAAAGTAACAAAAATTTCTTTGAATAAATTACTGTCTCGTTTTGTGAAATCATACGAGAAAGAAAAATAAAATTAAACTTACTTGAAATGCAATTATAAAAAAAAATATTCCACATGCAATATCAGTTTTTTTTCTAATTAAAATCATTGCACATGGTATTAATTGACCCAATAGATTCGTAATAACAAAAAGTGTACCTAGAAACCATCCAACATTCCAAGTATTCATAATATAATCTCTTTGTTGACCCCATTGCATCCACATACGAATACCATCTTCAATAAATGTTGATACTAAACACAATCGAGCTAAATGTGGTAAAATATATTTCGTTCGTTGAAGAAACTATAACAAAAAAGAACAAGTCGAAAAATATTTTTAGAGAAAAAAAAAAAAAAACTTATTACAATATCAGCATAATCTTCCGCATGAACCAACCATTCTTGACGTCTTTTAGGTGTAGCAAAATTCATGATAATCTAATTTTCTATTAGAATCGATAGATGAAGTAGATGATAATATGTACCTTGGTACGATTACTGGTAACGTGTTTTTCCCAGGGATTGGTTCATTTATCTTTATCATTGATTCCTAGAATGATTTTCCATATCTAAATATTATTAAATATAATTCTTTTTTATTTATATAAATTAAAATTAATAAACAAATCTTGAAAGGTTTAAATTTAAAAACAAAAAAGCTTTTGATAACAGATGTCGACACATTCTTTTTTATAGTCCATAGTTTGCAAAGGACCAATATGGAACGGGTAAAATAAGTCAAAATCAATTAGACGTTAAAATACTATTCAAAATGGGTGAAGATGGAAGACATTATCATGAATTTCGAGCACGACGTGTCGATGGTACAACTACTGATGGTAATAGATAAAAAATTTTGTTTTTTTATTCAATTTTTTATCATAATAAACATTTTATAAGGTTTGGAAGATGCTGCTGCACAAAGTCGTCTTACACATGATCGAATGTCAGCAGAAGAATCTCGTTTATTTCCAGAAATTTGTAAAAGTGATATTAAACGACACAAAGCATTCTTAATTATTCGTAATAATACTGTAAGAAAATTTTTATTTTTTTTTTTTAATAATTTGAATATTTAATTAATATAAAAACTCATTGTGTATGAATTATTTGTAGAATAGACAATATCAAGATTATATAAATAAAAATAAAATTCTTTATTATTTAATAAAGAATTAAATACTATATAATGGACATAAATGAGTGTTTATTAACTCATTTTACTCTTGGATATAGTCTGAGATAAAATGTATTGTGTATATATGAATGTCTTCTTACAATCTAATATAAATTCAATTATTTGTATCAGATTTAATTCAAAAAGTGTAAATATTTATATGATGAACTTATAGTTGTGTCAAAACTTTGATGTTGATAAACATCCTATATCAAATTTCAACGTCTTCTTTCTTAAATATTATCATACATTATGAACTGATGATGGAATCTTGCCAAGTTATACATAGCTTTTGAGATGATTTTCACCTTATTATATAGACCCTGCTGAAGCTAGAGGAGAACTAAAAGAATTTGTATTCATGGGTCTGTCTTCTTCAGATATGACTATTTCAATGAATATTTGATACTTTTACAAAGAACAAATCGATTTTGAAAATGATCTAGCTTGGGAACTTTCCCAACTGATTCACATCGTCAGAGTGCATATTTTTTGTTAGTGGGTAAGGTTGATTATGTGTATAATATTCCTAAGAGGATTCGTGTCATTGCTGCTTGGTTTCAGAGTTACGAACGAAACGAATGTTATAATAGATGGCATCATCATCTATGCACTATTTTTTTGGTCGAGCCTTTTTGGTACCAGCTTATCTCATTTGACTAGAGTGAAAAAAGTATTAAAATAGTAAATCCTGATTAAGATATGAAAAGAACAAAAACATAGGGTATTGATGCTGACAGCAACTATCATATCGACGTGGCCACGCGTGATGGAATTTCATTTTTTCAGATTGCAACCTGTATAACTGCTTAGTAATACAAGCGAAGTGTCTGAAATTATTATCATAAATACAGCTCATTTAGATCTATTATCAGTAAAAATTTCACAAATTTCTCTTCAACCGCAGCAGAGTTATTCAAAAAATAGTGACCGTTACGGAATTTCTAAAAATAGAAATTTTTTTTTGGGAGGCTACAAGTTAAACATTTTTATACGAAAGAACGAAGTATTCAAATGAAGGTTATATTCAAAAGTTGTTCAGCTTTTAACAAGCTATTAGAATATCAAGTCATTTCTGATTCGTCTTAGCTTCATCAAATAAAAAACTTGAAATATCGCTCGTTACGGAATTTCATCTTTTTTTGTAGTTCTACAGGGAAAGATTTCAGAAATTGCCATTTCAACCTGTTACGATAAAACTGATCTTTTTTCTGATACATGAGTAGTACACAGATAATTTTATCTTTCCAGTATGTTAGTTTTATTCTCGCAATGGAATCTCATAAGAATTTCTATCTAGTTTTCAGACAAAAATGCAATGTGAAAAAGTGACAAATTACGCTTTTTTGATGAAATTAGTCAATAAATCTCTTTTTCAACACCTGTCGAACTAAAAAGTGAAGTTTTATATCACTTCTCTTATAGCTTGCAACAATTTTGGTAATCTGTTGATAGCACATTTCCAACTATCGAGACATTATTCCTCACTTTTGTGATCTTGAATCTTCTCCATACCAGGGTGACCGATGCGTGGCCATGCCGATATGATTCGTTTCAAGGCGGAACAAACTGATTACTAATACTAGTAATCAATTTGTAATCACGAGTAATCATCAGTCCCTAGCCGTGGGGTCCTCAAGTCCTATTTTTTAAAAAAAAGTTTTTTTCAAAAATAGGACTTGATGACCCTAGGGCTCGGGTTGGGGACGGAGACGGTTACGAAACCGTTACCAGTCACCCGGGAACGTAACAGTAACTTCACACCCCTAATCACCAGTAATCACTAGTAATCAAGTAATCAGTTTGTTCCCCCTTGATTCGTTTCGTTCATAACTTTAAAACCAAGCAGGAATGGCACGAATTCTCTTAGATATTTTATATATATAATCAACCGTATCCACCAACAGAATGTGAGCTCGAACGGTGCGAATCAGTTGGAAATGTTTTCTCGTGAAGATTATTACGGCATCCTATTGAAAAACTTATTAAAATGGTCATAATTGAAGAAAAAATATCAATAATGACAAATTCTTTTCGGCTTTCTCTATTCCTATAGAGGATCTACTTTATTTTATTTTTGAAAGGGTTCACTGTAACGAATGAGCAATTTTTGGCTTGTGAAAATTATTTAACACATAACTAGCAATGTGTGGGACAAAGTTTATTTTGTCTCGGCCTCAGTCATAGTCCTAGTAATTCCTCTCAAATGTTCGCGTCAGTGACAAAAGCTAGCGATTTATGGTTTTCGGCAATCGAAATAGGAGAATGCCGGACGTCTTTCGATCTGATACTATATAAGAGAAAATTATTTTAAAACTCATCATCTTTGCAAACAATTGAAAAACATGCATGAAAACGGCGTTTCATATCAATGAAATTTCGATAAAAAATTAGCAAAAGTCTGCATAATTTGAATGACTACCTGCGCGATTTGGTTTATTCGACATGAGACGACAATCGCATGAATTGTACCTTAAACTAAGAATCTAAAGCACATATCAAAACAAAACATCGTTTTGATGCATTTTTTGAATGATTTTGTTTTATTTAATATCAGACAAAAAGATGTCTCGAGTTATCCTCTTTAGATTGTTGAAAACAACAGATCAGCATATGTTGCCATTGTCAAGTTATTAAGCTTACATTCACTTCTCCTCAATTCTGAGACAGACACATTAGTCCCAACACCGGCAATGTCTTTTCTGATTATTTCAGTGATTTTAGTTTTTCACGTTCAAGTTTAGAGAAAACTATTTCAAAATTTATTCATATCGCATGTAAAACAATACGTCAGTACACCCACACCCACATCCTCATACTATAATCGAAACTAAGAATGTCCTAAGACAATTGGTTCATCAACAAAAAATTTTTCTAGTTGATGATAATTTTATCATTACTTTCGATTTATTCAAACGATAGTTTGTGCTTACATATTCTTGAAATTGACTTATGTTTTATTCTAGCTTCGAATGTGGTTTGATGAACCTCGTATTCAACTAACATTCGAAAAAGTCATGGAAAAATTGAATCAAGTTGAACCACAATATGCCACCGGTAATAAAAATTTTTGTTTATTTATTTCTATATATATGTTTTTATTCTTATTAGATGAACGAATACTTGCTGGAAAGATTTTTCTCTATCTAGAACGTTATGGTTACATTAATTTTGGAGTATTTAAACGATTAACAACTCCACTTGGAAGTAAATATTTTTTATAAATATTAAACAAAATTTTATTGTTGCGTTTTGTTTTTAGCTAAAAAAGATAAACCACGAATTATTGTTATTGGCGCTGGTATTGCCGGAATAATTGCTGCACGACAATTACAATATTTCGGATTTGAAACAATTATTCTCGAAGGACGCGTAAGAATTATATTTTTCGCATAAATAAAGCAAAAAAAAAAAGAAAATTATTTTCATATTTACAGAGTCGAGTCGGTGGTCGAATAGCAACATTTCGTAAAAATGGTTTTATAGCTGATCTTGGTGCTATGGTAGTCACTGGATTAGGTATAATTTAGTTTTTTCTTTTTTCTTTATACTTTTAATATAAATAAAATAATTTTATAGGTGGTAATCCAGTATCTGTATTACAAGCACAAACAAATTTAGATCTTGTACCAGTTAAACATAAATGTCCAATGTATGAATGTTCACAAAATGTGGTATGAAATGAGTTTATTTCTTTTGTTTTTCGTGTGTAATTTGTATTTGATAGAAAAGTATCATTCTTATTTCAGTTAGCATATTCATTTTTAAAACCAGTTGAATTAATGAATTATCGACGTCGATATCTTCGGGTTAATTGAATCGTTATTTCGAGCTTTGTTTGCTTTTTTGTTGTTGTTATTGAGAGCATAGAAAAATAAATATTTTGAAAAGAAAAACAAAAAAAAAAAAAAAACTCGATAAATAATAAATGTGTTTATAATTGTTTGTTTGTTTGTTAGGTACCAAAAGCAAAAGATGAAGTTGTTGAACGAGAATTTAATCGTTTACTTGAAGCATGTTCTTATTTAGCTCAAACACTTGATGAAGATACTAATGAAAAAAAACAACCATATTCATTAGGTGATATTCTTGAACAATTAATTCGTGCACAAGAAAAAGCTGTAAGAGAAAAATATCTTCAACATTTACGTGAAATATCTAAAATGAAAGAATCACTTCGAACAATTTTAACAAAAGTAATCATGATTTATTGATTGAGTTTTTTCTTCAATAATAATATTTAATTTATTTATTT